CTAAATAAAAACAATTTTTAATATTTATTTACAATTTGTTTTTCTATATACTAATTAACGCTGATTCTTTCGATTATTTTCACATGGTTCGTTTTATATCTTATCCTTATCCTGAATTATACCAACTTTGTTTTCTCCAAAACTTAATTGACTTTTATATAAAATTTATAAAATGATTAACATTCTATTTAGACTAGATTGAAAATTGATTTTTCCGGTGGAGCTGAGATTCTTTTTGGCAATAAGCGTGAACATGAAGTAGAAGTCCCTCAAGACGTGCATAATATTAAACATCTCTTACTATGGATAAAAGACAAACTTTTAGTCCAGCGTCCAGAACTTTTTATTCAAGAGGGCACCATCAGACCAGGAATTCTCATTCTAGTAAATGAGGTTGATTGGTGTTTACTTAATGAAGAAGAATACATTTTGAAGGATAAAGACCATATTTCCTTTATCTCAACTTTGCATGGAGGATAATTTGGCAGTTACTTCCTATTTCTGTACAAAATACTAAGTTATGAATAAATATGTTTTGCCTAATTTACTTCTCACTGCCTTTAAGATTATCTCTTTTATATTTGTTACTGGATATATTTTGGATTATAGAAGAAAATTTGCCTCTATATTTGTGGCACATATTGATTATATTATGGGTATCTAATATTTGACAATTTGTTCAATAATTCTAACACTTCAGTGACATGCTGTTCAGACTAGATGATCCTCGTCTTGGAAAGATAATTAAACACCGAGCAGACATCTCTGGTACAAAATCTAAAGACGACATCTCTATTGGCTTTATTGGTTTTCCTAATGATGAAGGCGTTCGCCGAAACTTGGGTCGTATTGGTTCCGCCCAAGGACCCGGAGTTATCAGAGAACTTTTGCCTAAACTTGGTTGTCTAATTAATCGCGAGTTCAATGTTGATTTATCAGGTTATTTAATTTTAATTTAATATATTTTGCCAAATTGTTAATATACCTTGTTAATATACCTTATCTGATTCCGGTAGTCGTCGCCAATCTCATATCACTAACCAGATAAAACGTATCTTCCTCTCATACTTTATTAACTTAACAAAATGTTCTTTATTTCTCAATTTTAACCAGAATCAAATGAATTATCTGCTATAAGCTTCAGCTTAAGTTATTTTCCTGTTTTGGTTACTCACTATTGGGATAAAAAATTTTTGGTCTTTATCCACAATTTACTAAGAGTATTCAAGCCTGCCAATTCTAAATAATATTTTGTTGCTT